GTTACATGTGTTTGCACCATATTGTAGTGAGTAAACTTTCTTGGTATTGCTGTTTCAAATATCCCACCATAATCTGCCATTAGCCCTTGACAGGCTCAGACTACAATGGCAGAAACGTTACTAGTTAGTTTCTTTTTTTGTTTGCCAAATAACCCTGTGTATGTGTCCGCCCCCGCAACCCCCAAACCCCAACCCCCAGAAAAAAGTTCAGGCTCAGGATTTTTTTTTGCTTTAACCCCTGCTCATTATCATTTACTCCACCGGCCTCGCTCCATTCCCATGGCTCTCGGCGCCGCCCCACTTGTCACAGACAGCAAATGCATCAAATGCACTTTCGTGCAACTTATACGTGAAGTTTTGTCTGTAACCAAACCTAATTCTCTTTTTATAACTGAGCAAACACAGTGCGACTTACTAACAGAGAGAGATGTAACACTCTGCTGTGGATTACGTAGTGCCTCCACGCTATATAAACTATGCAAATGCAGCCAAAGCTATATCACCCTGTAGCCCAAGACTGGTTGCCCACTGAAGCTAAGCAGGGCTGAGCCTGGTCAGTACCTGGATGGAAGACCTCCTGGGAAAACTAGGTTGCTGCTGAAAGAAGGGCTAGTGAAACCAGTAGGGAGTGCTTACCCTGTGGTTTGTGTGGGTCCTAATACCCCAATATAGTGATAGGGACATTATACTGTAAAAAGCACCATCCTTTGGATGAGACATTAAACCGAGATCCTGACTCTCTCTGGTAACTAAAAATCTCAAGGCACTTCTCGTGAAGAGAAGGGGTGTAACCCCGGTGTTCTGGCCAAATTCCCTCCACTGGTCCTTATCAATCATGGCCTCTTAATAATCCCCATCCATTGAATTAGCTCTATTACCCTCTCTCCTCTCCAGTTGTAGCTGATGTGTGGTGAGCGCACTGGCGCCGTTGTACTGTGGCTGCCATCGCATCATCCAGGTGGATGCTGCACACTGGTGGTGGTTGAAGAGAGACCCCCTCATATGATTTTAAAGCACTTTTGGTGTACAGCAATATACAACAAAGAGCTATATAAATCCCTCTTTCATTCATTCAAATGTATGCAAATGTGCTGGCACAACAGCCAATGGTGAGATGTCTCAATCTTAGCATGAATTAATAGTCATTTTGAACCTTGTTACGTTATATTTTTTAATGTTTTGTTCAATATAAAAAATACAATAAAAAAACTGAGGTGAATTTTAGGTGAATATACACAGGTTAATAGATGCCATCTATAGGGGGCATATGCATCCCCAATCTCAGCACAATGCTAGAGAAAATCAGAGATTGTGAAACTGCAGTGAACAATGTAAAAACATTTAACTGGGTCTGTAATATGAACGGTCTATAATTCAGTATACAACTTAAATATTATTAAATATTTTTCAACCCATCATTCCTGTTCATGTGTCAACACCCCTTTCATATGCTTACACAGTGAAACTGAACTGGTCTACACTAGTCTATAGGCTGTAAGGTCAAGTTAGCTAAGAAACATTCACATATCACCTATAATCCTTTTTGATATCGGATCCTCTGGCTGCTGTCTAATTTGTTACTCAAGCCGTGGTCACACTAGACTTTGAGCATGCAAAATTTATTTGTAAGCTTCAACAGTCGTGATATGACGTCACGCTCTGCAGCATCTTTTTTAAAAACTTAAATTCAACACATAACTAATAATACATCTAAAATGTAAAAAACATATAATCTACTCCACTTTCCTGCAGCGCTGCATTTTTAAATGTATGTTCTTTTAATTCAGCTATGAGGTCATGCTGTGACGTATCGAACTGCTGTTGGTCATGATACGAATTCGCAGGTCAAGATTTCACCAAGCTTGAACTCTGGAATGCAGCGAAATGCTAAACTTTTCGCAGAAGCTTGGATTTCCAGTGACACGTTTGCATACATATGAATGGAAGTCGATGGAACAAAAAAGTGTAGTGTGACCACCCCTTCAGTCAATGTACCACTGGAATGTTAAACCAGGGCGGTGCTCTCGTGTCTTTCATTTTCTCTCTTTTTTGTCTCAATATCTGAGTTCTGTTTCCTTTTCTGCAAATACTCTGCTCTGTGTTCAGGTTTAGCATCCCTACACTTTCTGTAAAGTAGATTTGTGTCAAATGTTTGAAACATAACTTTTCAATAAGCTAACAAAAATTAAATTGATCATTAACGAAAAACTCTGAAACTGGAAAAAAATAAATCACTGTGTCATTCTGGCAAAAATCCCTCGTGTGGGCTAGCAGCAGAGGATTCTCACTGGATAGCGAGTTTTTGATTGAAATCTTCACCTCCAGGTCAAGAAGCTGTCAGTGTTGTGTTTACAAGTGCAACTGTGAGATCTGCAGTCGGCTTCTTGTTTCATTTTAGAACATTAAGTTAGAAGTTTTGTTTTTAAATCTTATCTTTATATTCTTTCATTCACTACTTTGTCGACATAAGATTTCAGGAGTAGAATTGTGCCACTATCGTCTGTGTGAGAGATCAAATGACTTATTTACTTTTGCAATTAAATGCAAGATGTATAATGGCTAATGATTTGGGGGAATATTTGTTTCTTCCTGATAATACTAAATATGAATAATTGTTTTTTTTTTAATGATAAGTACAATACAAAAAGGATACAACATATGATATAAACAAACTAATTTCATGTGGACTATTGCTGTGTTTTTGTAGGTTGTCTGGCTGTATGGTGACAGAGAAAGGCTGTTGTTATGTGTCTTCAGCGCTGAGTTCAAACCCCTCACACTTGAGAGAGCTGGATCTGAGCTACAATCATCCAGGAGATTCAGGAGTCAAGCTGCTCTCTAAAAAATGGGAGGATCCAAAATGCACACTGGACAAACTCAAGTATGTCAAGCAGGAATAGTTTTTAGGTTTTATCGTTTAAACTTTTCAGTGTCTCTGTGTATATCTATATGAGTCTTGGGGTTTCTAAGGAATACAACAATATAAAGGATTTCAAGGGCACTAGTCTTAGGAGTAAACTTAACTGCTCAAATAAAACCAATTACCAACAAAACAGAACCTTTACTTCCTAACTAAATTTAAACTTTTTTTTTTTTGTGTGTGTTGGCATCATTGAGAACAAATAGTTTAGTTTAACGAGTATAGTTATTTTAATTACTGATATTCTGCCCATAATGGAGAGTGGCAAGTTCATCCAGCATTGAAGATAATCATTTATTGTTTTGAGTAATGGAGTGAAGTTAAGTTTAAACAAATCTGACAGCCTGGGGGAAACGTTGATGCTTAAATATGTGATGTGATTGGTGCATAGAAGGATATGTGGTATCTGGGATGTCACATCCAAGCTGTTGGGATGTAATGAAAGAAGATTTCATTACATTAAAGAAGAAGTACATAGAAGATTTACTCCATTTGACTGAATATTCGGAAATATTAAAGTCCAATCAAGTCAAGTCACCTTTATTTATATAGCGCTTATACAATACTGATTGTGTCAAAGCAGCTTCACAGTGTCAAACAGGAAAATAGCTTATCAATAATGCAATAGGACAATAACAAAGAGTAATTTTTCCAGTTAAAGTCAGTTCATTGATGATTCAGTGATGTCATCATCCAGTTCAGCTCTCTTCCAATAGTGTCTGTGCAATCAGTCAAGTGTCCCCAACTAAACAAGCCAAAGGCAACAGTGGCAAGGAACCAAACCTACATCGGTGACAGAAATGGAGAAAAAACCTTGGGAGAAACCAGGCTCAGTCGGGGGACCAGTTCTCCTTTGGCCAGACGAAATCAGCATGGCGTGGTTTAATTCCAGGCTGCAACACAGTTCAGATTGTGCAGAGGACTGGTTATATCCTTGTCTGGATACAGACTGGATCTGTATGGCTACGGTGATTACCATCTATTGTAATCACCGTTGTCTAATTATTTGCAGCCTAACTACCCTTTAACGAATTTAAATTATAGAAATGCGATAGTGTATTATGTGTATGCCAGGTTAAAGAGATGGGCCTTTAATCTAGATTTAAACTGACAGAGTGTGTCTGGCTTTATTCATTCAGGGCTTTAAGTAATTAACAAGATTTTAAAATGTATTCGATGTTCAATAGGGAGCCAGTGCAGAGTTGACAGAGCCGGGCTAATATGGTTGTACTTCCTGGTTCTAGTAAGAACTCTAGCTGCTGCATTTTGGACCAGCTGGAGTTTAATTATTAAGCGCGCAGAGCATCCGCCCAATAAAGCATTACAATAATCTAAGGTCATGAACGCATGAATTAAAGTTTCTGCATTTGACATTGAGAGCATTGGTCATAATTTAGATGTATTTTTAAGATGGAAAAATACGGTTTTACACATGCTAGAAAACAGCCATTAAGTGTTAGACAGTGTTTTAGATTATTACATGTGGAAGTTTTAGTCGAAAAATGAAAGCCTCTGTTTATTCAGAATTTAGCAGTAGGAAATTACTAGACATCCAGTTTTTTATATCTGTTAGTTTTCCGAAATGATATGCTTTATCAGGCCGCAAAGAAATTAGTATAATCAGTATAACAGTATAACAGAGCTGAGTATCATCAGTATAATAGTAAAAGCTAACACCATGTTTCTTGATATCTCCCAAGGGTAACATGTAAAGCGTGAAAAGCAGTGGTCCTAGTACTGAGCCTTGTGGTACTCCATACTGTACTTGTGATTGATATTATAGCTCGCAATTCACTGCTACGAATTGACAACGGTCAGATAAGTAGGATTTGAACCATGCCAATGCAATTCCACTAATGCCAACATAATTTTGTTGTCTACTCAAAAGAATGTCATGGTTGATAATGTCAAACACAGTGCTAAGATCCAGCAGCACTAATAGAGAAATAAAACCACGATCGGATGATAAGAGCAGGTCATTTGAGACTCTGGTAAGAGAAGTCTCAGTACTATGATATGGTCTAAATCCTGACTGGAAATCCTCACAGATACCATTTCTCTCTAAGAAGGAATATAGCTGAGAGGATACTGCCTTTTCTAGTATTTTGACAGAAAAGGGAGATTTGAGATTGGTCTGTATTTAATTAATTCTGTAGGATCAAGTTGTGTTTTTTTAATGAGAGGCTTAATAACAGCCAATTTGAAGGTTTTTGGGACATATCCTAATGACATTGACGAATTAATAATATTCAGGAGAGGATCTATGACGTCTGGAAGCACCTCTTTTAGTAGCTTAGTTGGAATAGGGTCTAAAATACATGTTATAGGTTTTGATGATTTGACAAGTTTATAAAATTTTTCCTCTCCTATAGCAGAGAATGGGTGGAATTGTTCCTCAGGGGATCTATAGTGCATAATCTGATGCCATACTGTAGCTGACGGCTGCATGGTTAGAATTTTATCTCTTATAGTATTGATCTTGGAAGTAAAGAAATTCATAAAGTCATTACTGCTGTTCTGTTGGGCAATGTCGGTGTCTGTTGATGCTTTGTTTTTCATTAATTTAGCCACTGTATTGAATAAGTGCCTGGGGTTATGTTTGTTTTCTTCTAAGAGAGACGAAAAGTAATGAAAGAATGAATCAATGAGTCTAATTGATTTTTGTAATGATGATGGGGGGTCTTGTAAATACAGTTGTAAGTCATCAACGTAAAGACTGATTTTGTGGTGTATATTTAGTGTTTGAACTCCTTTAATGTTTTGATGGATGGCTGCTGCTAACGGGCAGTCGTGGCCTAATGATTAGGGAGTCAGACTTGTCACCCAGAGGTCACGGGTTTGAGTCTTGGTACCGGCAGGGATTGTAGGTGGGGGAGTGAATGACCAGCGCTCTCTTTCACCCTCAATACCACGACTGAGGTGAGACCCTTGAGCAAGGCACCGAACCCCCAACTGCTTCCCGGGTACTGCAGCAAAAATGGCTGCCCACTGCTCCGGCACACACACACACACACACACACACACACACCGTGTGTACTAGACTTGTGCCGGTATTCGGTAATGCGATATATCACGGAATACAGAATTTTGATCCAGTTAATGAATGACTCCCCAAAACCAAATCTCTCTAATGTGGAAAACAGGAATTTCCAGTTGACCTTATCAAAAACTTGTTCTGCGTCCAGAGTAACTATGATGGTTTTTGCTTTTTGAATAGAAGAATAATGCATTAAGTTGAAAGGTCTGCGTGTATTGGTGGATGCTAGTCTAACTTTTATGAAACCGGTTTGATCTGGATGTATTATAGGCTACATTCACACTGTCAGTTTTTGGGATTGACAACCACATTTACTTACAGGTGTGAGTTTCAAAATGTCCCGTTCACACAGCAAATTACAGTAGCGTCTTGAATTCCATCTGTATGAACGTGCAACAGAAGTCAAGCCCATAGTCCTTACCAGTAACCATAGCAACAGTGACCAATGTAATATCAAAGATGATGACGTCCACAAAACTTAAAGTCTTATTACTTTCTCACGACAAGAGTTCAATCGAACCACGAGTTCATCCATCAAATCTTCATTAACCGACAGCAGCTTTTATATTTGGATGGAGAGCGAAGCATTTTAATCACGCGCAAAACACAAAACTGACGGGAGCGGCTGACGGGAGCGGCTCCGGTGGAGACTGGATCTAAAACATTCAGATGACACACAGCTCATTTCTCTGTCACTGTAAGTTACTGAAACCAAACATGAAAACAGGCAACACATGGTAGACATGCGTTTGTGCAGCAGAGTGGCTCTTTCTCGCACTGTGTTTGAATGTGTTTGTCACGCTCGTAAATAATCGTACTGTGTGCAAACGTAACCGTATTCACGAGTTCACACTTATATATAATAAACAGAGTAAAGGTTATGCGTGTTTGGCGTGCTGTCCGGGGAGAGGGCTCCGAGCTCGGTAATTCCTCCCGAACCCGGGGTACCTCCCCTGTCCGGGGAGAGGGGTCCGAGCTCAGCATTTAGCCCAGACCCAGAGTGCTCCCCCTGTGCTGGGGTAGGAACGGGCCGATATTGAGGAGTCGGGGTGGTGGAGGGATGCTGGAATACTGTAGAGAGAATGAAGGTAAGATGGCTTGGACTATTTGTAGAAGTTCTCTCTCAGGCTGATAGGATAGATGGTGTAATTGCTGATGATGAATTAGCCGGGTTAATTATCTGAATGTGCTCCTCCCGAACTTTGTTAATAAAACATCTCATTTTGGCCTTCCATCCACACAAAGACAAGGAGTCCAGGAAAACAGAGCTTTTGAAACGCTCTCCAGAGCGGATAAATTTGAAAAAGCTGTTTTCACGTTGTAGTATGGACTGTGGAAATGGAGGCTTTTGAAAACGATGACGTATGTTTAGTCATGTGACGCACATTGTACCAATAGACATGTTTATACCGGTAACATTAATTGTGCAGTTATGTGCTATTCACTTTCACACTGTTGCTAAAGATATCTACTTTGCACACTCTTCATATTACAGTCCTAAAAAGACGATACGACGACGAAAAAAAAAAGACGAAAATTTACTCACGATAGCTGTCCTGCGGCAAAACACGAGGGCAGTTGCGTTTTAGATCCATTCTGAGTGAGCGCGCCGTGGGTGCGTCAGTGAATGATGAAATATTTCCGTAAATGAATTAATCCTGCCAGAAGAATTGCGTGAAACTTATGTCTGTTCCATCTGTATCATCTCAGTGATGCATTTATACATGCACAGTAAGGCGAATGTAACGCTTTCAGACATTTCAGTGTGGATGATAAACTTTGGAAAAACGCCTGGTTTGCAGTTACAAAATGGCATCAACATCCGTTTGTCATAACGTCGTTTAACAAACTTTAGCCACGAAACCTGCTTTCAGCGACTTCACCTAAAAATTTATTAATTTTCAACACAGCCTGCGCCACTAGCGGAGGCAGCCTCGAGCTAG